AACCAAAAAATTGATAAACAAAAAACTTAAAAAATAAAAAACAAAAACAAAAAATATGGATACAACAATGTAAGGCCTCAGAATGGAAAAAGAACATTAATGCTAATGTGTAAACATAAAATAATGTGGTGATCAAGTAAAAAACATCTCCTCAGAGTCGCGTCTATTATTACAGTCGTTTCGATGAGGATCAGCACTTATAACTAGTTTATCCCGTCAGACAAACGTCATCGCCACTTGTGCTTTACCCCGCGACTTACGCTTTATCCATACTGCAGTAAAAAAGGACTCACTACAAATAGCCAAAACCCCACCAACCCAAAATTTGTAAAACACTAATGTTTTTTTAATGATATGATATGAAAAGTGTAGATAAACTGAAAAAAATAAATATAAATAACTAAATAAATCACTTACCATACCACCGAAAGAAAACATGAAAGCACAATAAATTAAAATTCTAATGGAAACATAAAAATATAAATAAATTCAATTTAAGATCTAAAACCAGATAGGTTTTATAAGCATAAATAATCCAAAGATAAACAGAAATCAGAATACCTCATTAAAAAAAAAACAACAATAGCCTTAAATAAACTCTAACGCTGTCATAGATACCTTATTCGAAATGTGATAACCAATCAAAAGTGTAGGAAAATGAAAAACCGGCGAAATCTAGAATCATAACAATGATAGAACAATGTGTGGTTGCGAAAAAATCGTCGCACAAAGACCTTAATAAAGTCACCGGCATAAATGTAGACATTAAATGAAGGATATAAAAAAATTTTCTCTGAATAATAATAAAAGATGAAAATTGTGCATATGAAAATTCAAATAAAGTTGAGTAATCAAGGCAAGATAATAAAACATTAAAATTCACAATAAACAGTAATCAGGCGCGGATCTATGGTATAGCCGTTGTGGCTAAGGCTACACCTTAAAATAATCAACGAAATAAAAAACAGTATAATACTCCAACATATTTTCAAAATAAAAATAATATAAATAATCAAGATAAGTTTATTTTTATTTGCTGTGTAAATTCGGCTTAAAAAGCGATTACTTAAAACTAAAAAAACCGGAATTAAAAAAAAGATCGGTCATTGCATATCGGTTTGTGGCTGAGCCACAAACGACCTGATTTTACGGCATAAGCTGACTAAATTATTGTTTTTTTAACTTAATGTATTTTTATTGAAAAGTCGTATGCCGTCAACACTCGTAGCCCGTGGCTAGATTGCTTTTTGCCTTGTGGCTGTACTTATTTCCCAGATTTTTTATACCCAGCTATATTTATGTAAGGAAAGCGCCTTTATTATTTTCTTAGTAAGTTGGTATTCATGGCGGATATGTTTTTGAAAAAAAACTGTTCCAAATGCTATTGATTCACATTCACAACATTAAATGTTGCGAAAAAAATTGTTTACAAAACGAAATGGTTTGAATATCTCACCAGTTTAATTTCGTAGTTAAACTTTTGGCTTGAAAATGCCCTGATATAAATGTTTTTATGCCATATTTTAAAATGGATCAAGGTTTTGACAAAACTTTTGTAGCTTCAAGGTATATTTTTAACTATGTTTTCACGGACTATACTTTAAAATAACTAGCCTTTTATAGCTGTAACTAGTTTACTTATATACAACTGTTTCTGTGCTTATTGTTTTAAGATTCTTATATCATTTAACTAAAACATTATTATTTTATTAAACAGGTTATTAATATAAATAATAGTTTTGCCACAGAGCTATACAAACAATTTTTTTTTTGCTATAAATTTAAATAATTAAAATATTGGATTTTTATTTACTCGAAAAAATTTCAAATCTTCAAATTGAAGCTTTAATTAAAGAGGATCTTATAAGTTGATTTTATTGTTAATTAGAATCAAATATAATACAGTATTGGAGACTATAATATAAGAGTCTCTTGTATTATAGTCTCCAATATTGTATTATATTTGTTTTTTATAATATATTATTTCCTTCAACTCTTTCTTGAGAACTCTCTTGAAAAGAGTCCTCAAGAAAGAGTTGAAGGAAATATTTTTGAACTACCTAATTTTGGAATTTATGCAGGTGACACTATCTTATGAGATCATTTAATATCTGTTTCTAAAAATGTTACATTATTTCTTAAACCGCACAAAATCAACTTATGGTATGCTGTAGAGAAGATTATGATATGCTGTAGCTTTTAAGAAGATTCTCATTTCTGAAATCAATAATAGTAAATACTATTCAGTTTTAGCTGATAAAGCATCTGATTGTACCAATCTTAAACAGTAGTCTATCGTTATAAGATATATAGGCAATAACTATAATACTCGTAAAGATTTCTTAAGGTTTGTTGACTGTCTTTAATTATTTAAATGTGCCTTTGTCGGAAAATACAGGCATGTTTAAATAATTATCTTTCTGTTGAAAAAGCAAAGCTAATTAATGTTTGTTTTACTTGTTGGGTTTGAAAACAGAAAAATCTAGGTATTTTTCTTTTAGTCTCCTCATAGTTGATGTTTGAATTTTATTTAAGCGTAATTTTAGTTTAACCAAATTTTGATGGATTGAATTTTTTATATAGCTACAATTGGTCTAATATTGCTTTTGAATTAGCTCTTACTTTAAATGTAAAAGAATACAAAAACTAGAAAATGTGGAAAGCAAATCAATAATGATAATCACTCATCATCTGATTATTTTAACCTTTCTTTCACTTTACCTCTACTGGACCATCTTGTTAATGAACTTATTAATTATATAAAATTTCAAACAGAAAGCAAGTTGCTTTATATGGGATGCTTGCAGTTCCAACTGTCATGTTAAGCTACTTGAAAACTAACTAAGATTTGCAAATCTTTCAGGAATTTCTTGATATCTATCATTCCAACTCTGCATTCAACCTTTATTTATGCAGAGTTGGATTATGGAAGCCTCTTTAAAAAGATCAGTCAAAACCCCTATCTAGTATTTTATAAACGAAACTGATGACAATGATTTATTTCCCCAACATTCTTGAATATTTTAAAGGTTTAATTCTAGGTACAATACTAAGAGATTAAAAACTTATTCAAGAAGTAGAGTGTTAAAAAAGTCATTGAATGAGCTAGCTTTAATGTCAATATATACCGAAATGGTTCTTGATAAAGACGGTGTTAACAAAAAATCTTCAGCTAATGGAGAGTAATGTTTAAAGTTGCTATTCAAGCCTTAAATAATTGGCTATGATTGAATAATAATTATATTTATACGTGAATAAAATAATTGAATCTCTCTTATATTTACAATCATTTTTTTGTTTTAATTTACTCTTAGAGCATCTTTTTTTATTTTTTGTAAATATTTAATAAGTAAATTTATTTTCTATTTTTTGTTCATTTCATAACCCTTGACATCTAAAATATAATATGTTTTAAAAATTGTTTTAAACTAAATAATGTAAACCACTAAATAAAAAATTTAAATATGTGTTAATTTCATTTGAGTATGCTACAAAAAGAGTGCTCGATAATCATAAAAAACAAAGATGTTATAAATTAGCTTCCTGAGGATTCTATAGATAATGAGACTGTTCAAATCTTTTTTTTTTAATATATATTTATATATAGTAATATACAACTTTAATATCTTAGTAATATATAAGTAAATATCTTTTGAATAAATCACAATATCATATTTTTAATGCAGTGATAGTTGCATTTATTCTATTAGTAACAAAGATATAATAGAAAGAATCCAGAATTAGAGAGCTAACTTTAGGCAGCATAACAACTTACATATGGAGTGCAAAGTCCAATGGCTTACCTTCTAGTTGGTGCACTTCGTAAAGTAAATTAGACATGTCTAAATTACGAAGAGAATAGCCAAGGCAAATTTTATATTTTACCATTAATTATTTTACTAGAATCCATTAAGAATAAATGAAAAAAATATGTGTGCAAAAACTGAATTAAAAACGCTCAGATAAAAAAACTGTCTGGCGGCGTTTACACGACGTAATTGTCGGACGTCTATTTGACGTAAGCTAACCGACTTATTAAATAGTTGCAATTATGACGTAATTTTACAAATTTTAGCTACACCTATATAAAATCCTAGATCCACCCCTGGTAATAATATGAAAATCAGCAGATAAATAATATATCAATGAATATTGCAATAAGAAAAACTAAATACTATAACAAAGCCAGATAAATTTAAAATAAATGAGTGGTTAAAAATTTATTTTGGGTGATATAAAAGTGATATAAGTTGTGATATAAAAACGATATACGAAGCGGGAAAAAATATTGTAAAAAAGTAACGGTCCGAATTATAAGTAACTTTGTGACCATTTCTAAATCGAAATATCCGAAAAGTAAAGGTTTCTCAACGGTCCGATTTCAATGTAATTTTGAGACCATAACATACGCACGATAAAATTTTATTAAAAAACTAGTAAATTATAAATAAAACTAGAAAATTGATATAAGGTAAACCAATAATAGTATGTAAATAGTAACTCTTAGGAAATGTAACTTAGTAAAGAAAAAATAGATTTTTTATTTATGTTTTTTTATGCGCCGTCTGGATTAGAAATTTCTTGATCGATTTGATGTTTTTGAAACTCGCAATATGTGGAGTTGGCCATATATTTTTAAGATCAGTATCCTGTTCAAATATATACCAGTGCTTTTTAACTATTTTATTTATGAGTTTTCCAACTTTTCCAAATGTTGTAACCATCGGTAAAATTCTCTCTTTCTCTCTTTCTTCTTTATATTTGTTGTAGATAAGTTCGTGTTGTGTATGTCGCAGTGCTTGTTTAAAACCATTGTTAATAGATTAAATAGGGTAGCCTCGTATAACTAAAATTTGTGCTAATTGTTTTAGCTCTTTTATTAGGTTGTAATTGTTGGATATAATCTTATTGTATCTTAACGCTTGGCTATATATTAAATTGCTTTTTTGATGAGGGGGATGGAATGAATTATAATGCAATAGTGCTGTTGTATCAGTTACCTTTTTGTATATTGTTGTTTCTAACTGTCCATCTAGCTTTTTGTTAATTGTTAAATCCATGAAATTAGTAGAAGTGGTACAATTATTGAAAGTAAATTTGATCGTTGGGTGGATGGCATTCATAAATTCGAAAACTTGTGTTAGTGTCTCCGGAGGCCCATTAGAAATAAAAAATATTATCTGTAAAACGTTTATAAAAAGAAATCCACATTGAAAATTGGTCAATTATATTTTCTCATCAATTCTTCCCATAAATAGATTAGCATAGGGTGGAGCCATATGTGTCTCCATGGTAGTACCTGTTAATTGTAAAAAATTATCAGTCGAAAATTGAAAGTTGCTGTGGGTTAGGATTGTTTCTAATATAATGTCAATAAAAGCAATAGGTGGGCGTTTAATGGGTCCGTTAAATGGCGGTGCTCTCTTTAAATAAAATTTTACAGCGTCAATACCCTCGCGATGAGGAATGTTTGTATACAAAGATATAACATCAGCCGTGACAAGAATGTAATTGTTGGTTTCTAGTACATGAGATTGAAGGAGTTTAAGGAAATGTGTTGTGTCTTTAAAGTATGCTGGTAATTGTTCAGCAACTGGCTGAATAAATTCTGTGATAAAGAACGATAAGTTATCGATTGGTCCGTCACAACCAGAAACAATTGGTCTTAAGGGAGTGCTTATCTTATGAATCTTGGGAAGGCCATAAAACAGGGATGTACGAAGGGGTGTTTTTGGTCGTAGAAACTTTGATGTTTTTTTATCAATCATATGATGAAGAAACATATAGTCATTAAGATTGTTAACATCTCTCGCTATACTTTTTTTTGGGTCTTCTGAGAGTAGTTTATATGTATTTTTATCTGATAAAAGTAGAGAGATCTTCTCTTCATAGTCAGTTTTATCTAAAATACAAGTACCCTCTCCTACCCCATAGGTATTAACATACTTAAGTTTGGAGTTTGCACATTTTGTGGAAGTGGTTTATCTGAAACATCAAAAATCCTCTGGGCGCCCATGCATGTGTGTGCATAGAGAGAAACTATACCTTCTACTCCGTTTACAATACATCTTTTTATGTTGGCAAACTAGAATCTTTAGTCAGAATTTTAACTTTTCTAATGACTAGCTGGTTAATTGTGTAAAATTAGAAAATTGATGTACATACTTTTAAATTGAACTTTATACGCTTTCGTACGCTTTTTGAAGACCTCCCCCTCCCCCCTATGAGCGTACGTACTTTATGGAAGACCCCTTATTTTATAAAATAAATCGCAATTATATAAATTTATTTTACTACCCATAAAAAATTGCTCACAAAGTTTGAATAACTAGCTAATAAATAGTTACAAAAAAAACGTATATTTTAAACGTTTTAAAAAACATTTAAACAAGTTTTAAAGTTGTATGCAGTTACTTTGTTAGTAATCAAAAAAATAAAATTAATAAACTGTTTTTGGTTTGTAAATAGGGTTTAAACTAATGCATCTTTTTTTATGATTGATCATTTGATTGAATTGAAACTTTTTTATTTTTATGAAGGCTAATTTAGTTAATTTAGCATTTAAACAGTAAGTTTATTTATACAGATTTATTTCTTGATTATACATTTATTTAATTGATCTATTTATAACCTAACCCTAACCCTAACCCTGGCGCAATCATGTTAATTTGTCTACATTAAAGTATATATAACGCGAATATTTTTGGGAAAATAATGTCACGGAGAAAATTTCACTTCGCAGATAGGGGGAAAAATTATACGAGGGGGAAAAATTATTTCGAAATAAATTTTTCTCCCACAAACATATTTTGGCCGAGAGGAAATTTTATAATGTAATAAGCAAAAATATTCGCGCAAAGCCAATTTTTTGCAGACCCTATCCAAATTTTATGGACAATCGCTTATCAAAGACTTTGAATAAAAGTGAAATTTAAAAATTAATAAAAGAAAATAAAAATTTAACTTTTGCGTAATTTTGAAGCTTAAGATTTAATCAAGCCATTTATCGCTTATCTATTTTATGTCTTCAAAAGCTAATTTGTTGTAGGACAGGTTGATTTTTAACTTTTTTTGGAAAATAGACATTTGACTAGTTGAGATAAATGCATTTTATAAGTATTAAAATTGTTATGAAAATTTTAGCTTCCCATTTTGCAACATTTTTTGGAGGAAACTGTTATATACGTGAAAAAAACTTTACTTAAGATTAACTTAGTAAGACAATTTTGCCGTTAAAAATGTTTACAATGTATAACAAAATAAAAAAGTGCTATTGCCCAGTGGGCATTTCGACGTCGAACGAACGTCGAGCGACGTTGGATCTCGACGTCGGATCGACGTTGGGTTTACGTTGGAAATGGAAATGTTATTTGACGTCGGATAAACTGACATCGCGCGACGTCGGCATTCCGATGTAAATCCAACGTGTTTTTTGAAAACTTAAAAACGTTGCCTTTAGCAGGAATCGAACCTCGGACTATTAGATATTAAATCCTACGCGCTTACCACTACACCACAGGAACATATTAAATTAAGTGTTTATTTAGTAATCTATACTTGTAGCTATTTGGAAATTATTACTTTGATAAGAAATAATTTTGTTTAAATATTATATAAATATTAAAACGAATAGTTATATATTATAAAAAATGTATACTCGAAAATGTTAATAGTTAAAAAACTATGCTAGTGCATCATACAAAACCTCATGATGTTTTATCAACCATTATTCAAACTTTTTTCCATTAATAAAAAAACACGCTTAGTTCACATAATTATTGAAGAGCGCAATTGCACACATATTGTTGGGTTTGGATTAAATTTTCATCAGCGATGTCTTACAACGTTGTTCCGACGTCGTTTTAAGGACGTTGGATTGACGTCGGAAGACGTCAAAAGACATCGGAGTACGTTAATATTATGACGTTGCCCGACGTCTTTTTATCGACGTTGAATCGATGTCAGTACTGCGACGTTTTTTGGACGTCTTTTATAAGATGTCGAAACAACGTCAAAACACATCGAAACGACGTCAGGGGATGTTGAGATAAAGACATCGCCCGACGTCATTTTACTGACATCGGAACAACGTCGGAATAGGTCTTTTGACATCGCTGATGAAAATCGTACGTAAATCCGACGTCGGATTGACGTCGGGTGCCCACTGGGTGGCTTGATCAAGGAGGAGGCATATATATAGCATTATCACCGAGCCTCAATAGTAACACTTATAAAGTCAAAATATATTTGATTTTGAGAAAACAGCAAAAAACTAAATTACTTTTGGTTGTGCATCAACAGAAATTGATAATTTTTCTGTCCATTTTTTGGTCCAAAATTTTTTAATTGGTTTAATATTTCATGAAATGATAGATTTAAATATATAGAACGTGAAAATCGAATAAACTCAATATTTTTATTTTTGTGACTTAGCGCGTTTAGCAGATGGACTCCTAAAATATTGGTAATACATAAGCAATACCATTAAAAGAAAGGCAATTTTAATATCTTAAGACTTTAGATATTTTTTACTGTTGTTACTTAAAATTTTATTTTTCTTACTTAAATTAAGTAACAAAAAAAGTAAAAAAATAATTTAAAAAAATAAAGAAATAAATAAAAGAAAGTAATAAAATTTCATATTTTTTAAGACCCACCCAGCCGGCATTATTACGTTGTTTCAACGTTTAAATTCGGTTGAAGCGTTGTTTCAACGTTGTTCAACTATGTCACAACGTTAAATCAACGTTACAGTTTAAACGTTGATTATTTAACGTTATTTCAACGTCATTATTACAATCATTGTTGGTATAAAATTTATGCGCGCGCAGAAAGTAAAAACGTAAACATTATTTCAACGGTTAAAAGTTAACTTTTAACCGTTGAAATAATGTTTACGTTTTTACTTTCTGCGCGCTTTTACGTTTTTACTTTCTAAATCTCTATAACTAGTTATAGAGATTTATAATGGAAAAAAAATGTAAATACTGAACTTATACCATATAGAATTTTCAAGAGATCGAAAACATGTTCAGACGATTTTCCTGAAAGAACATTATCGTTTAAAAATCGATATTTTTCGTTTAACTTGGGCTACAATGCTCAAAGACTGATATTATTAAATGTAAATATAATACAACTTTTTCAATGTTGAATTTAATGCTAAGCGTTGTTTTTTAATAGAGCATCAAGAATTAAAAAAGGAAATCGATAACTTTAAAAAAGAACTTCAGCACGAAATAAAAAAATAAAGATTTATATGAAAAATTAACTTCAACTACATCAGTTATTACTATGAAAACAGACAAATTTGTATATAAACATGATCTAAACAAATCGTGTTATTGCGATTTACTTGTATACAAACATTTATTTTAAATATTTTAAAAGTCGCAAGATCTATTATTAAAAATAATAGATCTTGCGACTTTTATACTGGCCTTACATCTGTCAATGTGTTTCATCAGTTAGTGCAGTAACATCACCATTAATCAAAAGAGATAAAGTTATATTAAAAAAAAAATTTACTTCTGTTTTTTGAAATTTAAAAAAATCCTTAACTACTTGGACCAAAATAAATGTAATGCAGCAAAGATGAATTTTTAATGATGCTAGTACTTGGATTATTGACTGCTGATTTTGCTGACAGGTTTAATATATATTTTTAGGATTAGCGAATGCAATATTTTCTTCATTGTTTAAAGCTTCTAGCTCACTTTTAAACCACATGGTTTTTGTTCCAAGTAAAGATGTTATAAGACAGGCAATGCAAAACAGATTTTAGAAATTAAATTATTCAGACTAACACTAAATTTCAGATATAACAGAATTTATTATGAAAACACCTTAAAATTTTGACTTACAGAAACTAACAGGGAATGAATACAAACATTACAATAATATAAAAACATAAGTATCCGTAGCTCCAAATTTATCAATAATTTCTTTAAAAAATTTCTAAAGCTTACAGAAGCTAAATTTCGGATAAAAAAATTACATATCCCAACAACTATTTAGATTGTATTACAAAATACTCTTGTATAATGTATGATTAAGGCTT